GGCAAAACTGAAGATGTTCTATTTTTCTCATATCGTGAGAAGGCAGGATTCTTTGGAAAAGACAATAATTCTGGAAGAAAAATAGAAGGTGGCAGGAGAAGAGGGAAAACCACATATGAGATGGATTGACTTCATAAAAGAAGCCATAGGCATGAGTCCTCAAAGCTGAGCAAGGCTACTGAGGATAGGACATTGTGGATATCACATATTCATGTGGTAACCAGGATTTGGAGCCGACTCAGTGCCATATGGCATATGGCGGTGTGCGCGCGCACACACGTACATACATCTCTGCCTTCTTTTGTTTATTGTTTGCATGGGAAATCTTTTTCCATTTGTTTACTTTCAACGCGCTCATAGCTCGCTGCCCCGCCCTCCTGTAGCTCTCTGCCGCTTGTAGATCGATCATGACATTATGGTATCCCAGCTAATTTGCATATTCCTCTATTATTATATTAGACTAGAGGCCCAGTGCACGAAATTCGTGCACTGGGGGGTGGGGTTCCCTCAGCCCAGCCTGCTCCTCTCACAGTCTGGGAGCCCTCAGTGGATGTCCTACTGACGGCCACAGTCTGGCAGCAGAGGCTCGGAGCAGGTGTCCCGTGTGTGTGTGTGTGTGTGTGTGTGTGTGTGTGTCTGCTGGGGGCCTGCCCCCAGCCACACCGTGGAGGCTTGGAGCAGGCGCCCCTCTGTGTTGATCTTTCAGGATCCTGGCCTCCACTGCGTGTTGTTTTCTCCCTTGAGCTGTGGCCAGGGTGGGGTGCTGCCTGCAGGCCGCACTTTCCTGCTCACGGATCGCCAAAGAGAGCCAGGGGCAGGCCCTGCTGGGTGCTGCCTGCGGACCACGCTTTCCTGCTCGCGGATCACCAAGGTGATCTGGGAGCAAGCCCTGCTGGGGGCTGCCTGCAGGCCGCGCTTTCCTGCTCCCGGATTGCCACCACAACCGGGGAGCAGGCCCTGCTGGGTGCTGCCTGTAGGCCGCACTTTCCTGCTCTCAGATCGCCATGGCGACCCAGGAGCAGGCCCTCCTGGGTGCTGCCTGCACTTTCCTGCTCGTGAATCGCCACGGTGACCTGGGAGCAGGCCCTGCTGGGTGCTGCCTGCTGGGTGCTGCCTGTTGGGGGCTGCCTGAGGGCCGCACTTTCCTGCTCTCAGATCGCCACAGCGACCTGGGAGCAGGCCCTGTTGGGGGCTGCCTGCTGGCTGCACTTTCCTGCTCGCGGATCACCATGGCGACCAGGGAACAGGCCCTGCTTGGTGCAGCCTGCGGGCCACACTTTCCTGCTCGCGGATTGCCACTGCGACCAGGGAGCAGGTCCTCCTGGGTGTGCCTGCGGGCTGCGCTTTCCTGCTCGCGGATCGCCACGGCGACCCAGGAGCAGGCCCTCTTGGGTGCTGCTTGCGGGCAGCACTTTCCTGCTTGCGGATCGCCACGGTGACCCGGGTGCAGGCCCTGCTGGGTGCTGACTGCTGGGGGCTGCCTGTGGGCAGCGCTTTCCTGCTCACCGATCGCCACTTGCAGATCGCCATGGCAACCCGGGAGCAGGCCCTCCTGGGAGGCCCGGATGGCGGTGGGCGGGCTTGCCTGCTCCCCAGTCGCTGCAGCAATGGCCAAGCAGGCCGTGCTGGGAGCTGCCTGTGGACTGCGCTTGCCTGCTCCTAGGTCACCGAGGCGATGCCAAGCAGGCCATGCAGTGCTAGGAGCTGCCTCCTCCCTGCTGTCAGTCTCCATGGAGGCGATGAGGTTAATTTGCATATTCACTCCTGATTGGCTGGTGGGCATCGCGAAGGTACGAACAGTTTGCATCTTTCTCTTTTTTTTTTAAGTTTTTTTTTTAATATATTTTATTGATTTTTTACAGAGAGGAAGGGAGAGAGATAGAGAGTTAGAAACATCGATGAGAGAGAAACATCGATCAGCTGCCTCCTGCACATCTCCTACTGGGGATGTGCCCGCAACCCAGGCACATGCCCTTGACCGGAATCGAACCTGGGACCTTTCAGTCCGCAGGCCGACACTTTATCCACTGAGCCAGACCCGTTTCGGCTAGAGTAGATATTTTAAACTGATACCAACTTATCAGTAACTTTAGTCCTTTACAGTTCGCCTCCCCATCTTTGTTATTAATGTAACAAATGACATATTATATATCATGTACCTGTTGGAGGCCCGGTGCACGAATAAGTCGCTCAGTCCAGCCTGCATCCTCTTGCAGTCCGGGACCCCTAGGGGAATGTCCACCTGCTGGCTTAGGCCCGCTCCCTGGGGGATCGTGCCTAAGTTGGTGGTCAGACATTTGTCTTGCAGTCTGGGAACCCTTGGGGGATGTTCACCTGCCACCTTAGGCCTGCTACCTGGGGGATTTGGCCTAAGCTTGCAGTCAGACATCCTTAGTGCTTCCGAGGAGGCAGGATGGGCTTCTGCCACCACCGCTGTGCTCGCAGCCATCAGCCCGGCTTATGGCTGAGCGGAGCTGCCCCTGTGAGAGTGCACTGACCACCAGGGGGCAGCTCCTGCCTTGAGCATCTGACCCCTGGTGGTCAGTGTGCGTCATAATGACTTGTTGTTCCCAGGCGTTCCCGGTTTTTCTGCTATTAGGGTCAATTTTATTATATAGGATTGACATAGACTTATATTTTCTATTTCTTGTCTTTTAATTTCTGTAAAAGGACAAACAGTGGAGTTATAAAGTAAAATTATAATACTACTTTTTTAATACTTGTCCATGTATTAACCTTTACTGTAGAACTTTATATTTTTTCATATGGTTTTAAGTTGCTACCTAACACTTTTTCAACTTGGACTCCCTTTAAAATTTCTTGTAAAGCAGATCTACTGGTAATGAACTTCCTCAGATTTTTTTTAAAATCTGAGGACTTAATTTTATATTCATTTTTGAAGTAGATAGGATGTTTTTCTGGATATAATGTTCTCAGTGGACATCTGCACTTTAAATATATCATCCCTATGTTTTGGCTTGCAAGGTTTCTGCAGAGAAATCTACTGATAATCTTATTGAGGAATCTGTATATATGTCAGTCACTTTTTTCTTGCTGCCTTTAATCTTTCTTTGCCTTTGATGATCATGTTCCTTGATTGAGATTCTTGAATTCAGATATTCATGTCTTTCCTTAAATTTCGGAGTTTGGGCCATTATTTCTTCAAATAAGATCTCTTCCTCTTTCTTTATTTTTCCTCCTTTTGGACTTCCTTAATACATACTTTTGATAATTTTCCCTGAGTCCTTTAGGCTCTGTTCACTTTTCCTTATTTAAAATTTTTGCTCTTCTGTATTTTCAAATAACTTGTTTTCAAGTTTGCTAATTCATTCTTTACAATTTGAGTCAGCTTTTGACTTTCTTTAGTGAATTTTTCAATTCAGTTATTCCTTGTACCTCTACTGGGATGTGTGTGTGTGTGTGTGTGTGTGTTTTCTCTGCTTTTATTAGAGATATTTTTTTGTTGTTGATCTAACTTACATATTACATGGTATAAATTTAAGGTGTGCAACATGTTGATTTGATACATTTATATACAGGATGGGGCAAAAGTAGGTCTACAGTTATGAGTGGGTAATTTTGTGTATTCATAACTGTAAACCTATTTTTGCCCCACCCTGTATTGCAGTATGTAGCTTTGGCTAACACCTTTACCCTGCCACATAATTATCGTGTGTGTGTGTGTGTGTGTGTGTGTGTGTGTGTGTGTTAAGAACATTTAAAATGTAGTGTCTTAGCAATTTTGAAGTATATAATACAATATTGTTGACTATAATCACTATGATGTACATTAGTTTTCTAGAACTTACTCATTTCATAGTTGCAAGTTTGTACACTTTAACATCTCTCCAGTTCCCCCACATCCCAGCCCCTAGTAACAAACATTCTACTCTCTGTTTCTGAGTCTACTTTTTTATATCCCACATACAATATTTGTCTTTCTGTGTCTGGCTTATCTTAAACATAATGCCCTCCAAAGTTCATCCATGTTATAGAAAATTTGTCTTTCTGTGTCTGGCTTATCTTACTAAACATAATGCCCTCCAAAGTCCATCCATGTTATAGAAAATGGCAGGATTTCCTTTTTTATTGTGACTGAATATTTCTGTGTGTGTGTGTGTGTGTGTGTGTGTGTGTGTGTGTGTGTATCACATCTTCATTCATCTGTTGATGTACACACTTAGGTTGATAACACATTTGGTTGTTGTGAATAATGTTGCAATAAACATGGGAGTGCAGGTATCTTTGTGATACATGTTCTTCTTTCTTTTGGGTGTATACCCAGGAGTGGGTTTTCTGGTTCATATTCAACATTTTTCTTAGTATTTGGTTTCCTTCAGTTTGATTATGATATGCCTAAGTGTAGATTTTTTGGAGGTATTTATTTTGCTTTGTGTTCTCTGAGCTTCCTGGATCTATGGTTTGGTGTCTTTATCATTTATTTACTTTGGAAATTTATCATTCATTAGTACTTCATTTTTTTTCCTTCTGGTATTCCTATTATGCATATGTTACAACTATTACAATTGTCTTACAATTCTTGGATATTCTGTTTCATTACTTTTTCTTTTATTTTTCTCTTTGCATTTCAGTTTGGGAAGTTTATGTTTCTGTATCTTGATGATTTTGGATTTAAAAACTTCTTTCCAGTTCATTGGGAGTGTATTTAAATACAATTCATTTTTTGTGTATTTTTTTGTATATCATGTTACCTTGCTAGATTTTTAATTATTTGTATAATTCTGATTAAAATGTAAAAACATGGAACTACAACTTCAGAGATCATAATTGACAACAAATGACATTTTGGTCAAGCATACAGTCTTAGACTAGTTGAAGAATGAAGGTGAGCTAATACAATTATAGTTGAATTCTGTTTTATGTATATTATTTGTAATTATTTTTTCTTAATATGACATTTTAGGGATGAAGTATATCTAACCTTTAAAATGAAAAATACTTGAATATTTCAACTTTATTTTTAATAACTTTTTTTTTAGGAGCTGTGGTCTTGAAGAACCTTGAAATTAAAGAAAATGCCCTGGTAGGTTTTGACTGTAAGAAATTTGTTAGTGCATTTATAGACTTTTTCCTGATTTACTTTGTCACTTTAAATCATTTAATTTTGATAAAATTTTTTGAAAGTAAGTTTTGTAAAATGTGAATTTTGCAAAATGAATTCTTACTCTCCTTAAAAGCACAAACTGAGTGTGTAATTTTCTCCATATAAAAATACTTCTAATGTTTCTTTTTATATGATGTTATTTTTAAAAACATTTATTTCTTAAAGTATAATTGATATATAATGTTATTAGTTTCTCTATGTTTTCATTTTCCCAGTCATCTTCAGTATTTTATACCATTTTAATCATTTTTTACTATAGAATTGAGTAGCATTAATTACATTTACAGGGCTGTGCAACCATGACCAGTATCTGTTTCTAAAAGTTTGTCATTATGCCAAAGGGAACTCTGTAACCATAAAAGATACAACTTCCTAGACTTCCCTGTAGACCCTGGTAGCCTCTAATGTATTTTCTATTAATTTGCCTATTTCAGTTATCTCATATAAATGGAATTATGCTATTTTGTCATTTTTCTGTCTGGCTTGTTTTACTCATTGTAATTCCTTCAAGGTTTATCCATGTTGTAGCATGTTTCAGAACATCTTTCCTTTTTATGGCTTAGTAATATTCTATATGTATATGCCACATTTTGTTTATTCATCTGTTGATGGACACTTGGATTGTTTCTGTCTTTTGGCTTTTATGAACAATGCTGGTATAAATATTGACATACACATATCTATAAATTTAAATAAGCATTGAAGATAAAGGGAAGGTGTAAGTTAACTTTAAACCCTTTAAATAATTCTAGGAAGAAAAAAGTAGTCATCTGTTGTGTACTAATATTTTACATCTGTGTATTTTTTGTAGAGTCAACTGGATGTACCATTTAAAATTAAAGTTGGTTATATAGGTAAGCTGTGTTTATTTGAACGTTCCCCTTGCTGGACATGCAACCAGAATAATATGCTTGGTATCCTTATTATGTGATATTTTTAATGTTTTTGAGCATTAATTGTAAGTAATCATGTGTTTTTATCTAGATGGAGCTTAATCATATGACAAAAATATTGTACGGTCCATCTATATTTTGTCTAATATGTATGAAATTATATACCTTATTAGATGTTAAAAATGAGTTAATTGAGAGCTAAGGTGTTACTAGAAAGCATATAACCCCTCAGTTTTTTAGGTTTCTGACTAGTTATATTTGCTATATTCTGTTTGGCCATGGATATGTGGTGTAAGGAGTAGGGTCTAGGTCAGCCAGACAGTGTGACTAGGGACCTATCAGAAATTGAGTTTCTACTCTGGAAGTTTTCTAGGTTGCCCTGAATATTGAGCTAGTTCTTGACCTGTATTATGGTGTTCATACTTTACATTTTTCCCCTTTTTAAAAATTGAATTTATTGGGGGTGACACTAATTAACAAAATTACAAAGGTTTCCGTTGCACAATTTTATAACACATCATCTGTTCACCACCCCAAGTCAAGTCAAACATTTTATGTTTATTGCTTGGGCAAAAACTAATTAGAATATGATGTTTTAAAATGCTTAATAAAAACGTGTTTGGTTTCTTAAATTATGTTGGTTTATTGTTTTAACTTTATTGTTTAAATTACTGTTTGAATTTTATTGCTTTAAATTTTATGCAAGATGGTGGTGTCATTAAGATTTGAAAGTATACAGATATACTTTGTTGTACAGATAAGTTTGTATAGTAGGATTTATAGAATGTTATTGCTACATATTGGTGTCAGTGGGGGAACAAGGTATTTTGAAAGCTCATCTAAATTACATGATTAATGTCTTCATAATTTTGTGCACTTATGGTTGGTGTTAGACCATTTGCCTAAGAAAATTTTCATTATCTTAATGTTGCTGAGACTCAAAGGATCTCTCTTCTCCCTTAATTTAAAGATGTTTTAGTATAAGAAGGGAAAACATGTCACCCATTGTTTTCCACCTAACATGTTTATTTTTGCGTATTTCTATATGATTTTTTACATGTGTACCTTTTAATTACTTGTAATCATGAAATATGTACGATTTCATATTCTTTTTAGTTAACAGTTAGTAAAGATTTCTCATAATCCGTGTTGATTTGACCTCATTTATTTTTTATGGTAGTATTATAATCCAATGAATACATATTTGGAAATTGTAGTGATCCTGTATTTCCAAAGGTACAAAAATATTGCAGTGAACATATGCCTCACCATATTTAACAATGATAAAAGGTAATTTTCAATGTTAATATAAGATAGTGGAAAACTGTTTAGTAATGGAGAACTATTTTGTGTGTTTTGAAACTTAGGTGCGCTGTTCCCTGGAAAAAGCTAAAGAAAAAAAAAAGATAGTGGAATGTATACTGCATTAAGTACCAAATACATAAGATAATTTTGAGACTCATTTAAGGTGTTGTTTGCATACCCCTAACACAGCACCTATCTTTCTTTAATATCAGTATTGTTTTCTTCTGCTAGACAATAAGTTTCTTGAGAAGTGGAATTAATTTTTATTGTATTCATACCACTTAGCAAAATACCTAGCATTTGGTAGGCACATTATTTGTTGAATGAAAAAAGTAATGCTTCCAAGTGAGTGGTACAGCAATACAACCAGTTTTATAGGAACATATTGTTCCCTTGCTATTATTGGATAGTAGAGGCCCAGTGCATGAAGTTTGTACACTCAGGGGGGTCCCTCAGTCCAGCCTGTGCCCTCTCGCAGTCTGGGAGCCCTCGGGGGATGTCTGACTGACGACTTAGGCCCGGGGGGAGCTGGCCTAAGCTGGCAGTTGGACATCCTTAGCACTGCTGCGGAGGTGGGAGAGGCTCCTGCCACCTCCACTGTGCTTACCAGCCGTGAGCCTATATTCTGGCTGAGCGGAGCTCCCCCTGTGGGAGCGCACTGACCACCAGAGGGAAGCTCCTGTGTTGAGTGTCTGCCCCCAGGTGGTCAGTGTGCATCATAGCGACTAGTTGTTCTGTTGTTTGGTCGATTTGCATATTAGCCTTCTATTATATAGGACTAGAAGCCTGGTGCATGAAATTCATGCACGGTGTGTGTGTGTGTCCCTCAGCCCAGCCTGCACCCTCTCCAATCTTGGACCCCTCAAGGGATGTCTGACTGCCTGTTTAGGCCCGATCCACGGGCAGCTGGACATCCCTCTCACAATCCAGGACTGCTGACTCCCAACCGCTCGCCTGCCTGCCTGCCTGATTGCCCCTAACTGCTTCTGTCTGCCAGCCTGATTGATGCCTAACTGCTCCCCTTCCGGCCCAATTGCCCCTAACTACCCTCCCTTGCCAGCCTGGTCACCCCTAACTGCCCTCCCCTGCCGGCCTGGTGGCCCCCAGTTGCCCTCTCCTGCCAGCCTGGTCGCCCCTAACTGCTCTCCCCTGCAGTCCAGGTCGCTGCCAATTGCCCTCTCCTGCAGTTCTGGTTCCCCCCAACTGCCCTCCCCTGCAGGCCTGGTCCCTCCCAACTGCCCTCCCCTGCAGGCCATCTTGTGATGGCCATCTTTGACCACATGGGGGAGGCCATCTTGTGTATTGGAGTGATGGTCAATTTGCATGTTACTCTTTTATTAGATAGGATTGTTAATCTTATGATCTTTAAGTTTTCCTCATTTGGAGTACAGAATTCCACATATATCAAATATAACTATTCATATGTACATGTTTTGAAAGTAGTTATTCTTAATGTAGGAGATTTTTGGAATTACTTTCATTTATATTTTTATGAAGTTTTCAAATTTCCTGTAAGTATTCTGTACCTTATAATGAGAAGAAAAAAATTTGGTTAAAAGGTTTAGTGGTAAAAATGCTATATTGTTAATTTTATGTTTTTCTTTGATTACTGCTATTTTGTCACTGTTCTCTGTCCTTAAGTTTATTAACTTTTTTAAAAATATGCTTTTATTGATTTCAGAGGGAGGAAGGGAGAGGGAGAGATAAAAACAATGATGAGAGAGAGAATCATCAATTGCTTGCCTCTTGCATGCCCCTTACTGGGGGTCAAGCCCAAATAAGGCATGTGCCCTGACTGGGAATTGAACCACCATCTCCTGGTTCATGGGTGGACACTTAACCACTGAGCAACACAGGCCGGGCCTTTTTTTTTATTATTATTAATGTACTAGAGGCCCGGTGCACAAAAATTTGTGCACTCAGGGGGGAGGGGAAGGGGGGTCCCCCAGCCCGGCCTGTGCCCTCTCGCAGTCTGGGACCCCTCGGGAGATAACGACCTGCCAGCTTAGGCCTGCTCCCGGGTGGCAGAGGGCAGGCCCAATCCCTAGGTGCAGCCCCTGGTCAGGCTCAGAGCAGGGC